AACATCCAGGCCAGCCATGTCCCCTTGTGACCTTTGTTGCATTTAAACTATTACAGATGATACAGATAGCTAGAGATACAGATAAGATATACGATCTCCAATCAGTTAACTTTCTCCCCCATGATTTTTTCTTCTCTCCCTCTGCTCTGCACCCCCCTGCACCCTCTGCCCATCTCCCCTCCTTTTTAAAAAATATTTATTTATTTATTATTTATTTATTTATGGCATGCGGGATCTTTAGCTGTGACATACAGCCTTCTTAGTTGTGGCATGCATGCGGGAAGGGATCTAGTTCCCGGACCCCTGCATTGGGAGGGCGGAGTCTCACCCACTGGACCACCAGGGAAGTCCCTCCTCTCCCCTTCTTGTTGCTACCTCACCTGTCCACTAGCTTGCACAGACCATCAGGGCACAGACCGGGCTGTTTTGTTCATCTTTGTATCTACGTAGGAGGCCCATTTGCTGAATGAACACATGGTAGAAGATGACAATAAAACCACAAAAGTCCTGTTTGGGACACGTGTTGGAGCACAGTAGCTCTGACAAACGACCTCCCAGGGCTCTTTCCTGGTCTCTTGAGTGTCTACAGACTGGACTCTCGCCGTTGGTGTGGAAGGTGAAGGCTGGAGCAGGTGTGTGTGTGTGTGTGTGTGTGTGTGTGTGTGTGTGTGTGTGAGAAAGATGGGGCTTCTAGGAACACAGGCAAAGCACATCTTCCGGGTTCCCTGGCCACACCCTGAGAGGCGGGGCAAGCACAGCCCTGGGAGGGGCTCCCGCCCAGTGTTGGGCTGCTCACCTGTTCCCGGCTTCCCCGGGAGCCACATTGGGCAAAATTTCCTAAGGGAGACCAGCACTGCAGCAGTGCAACGGAAATCTGGCACAGTCTCAGATTATAGATACAAAGAACACCAGGCCAAAAGTAAATATCCCTGCGTCCCACGTTCCCATTGCTCATTCATCCGCCGATCTGCCAGCACCATGCTGTGCTGGAGGCCCTTGACTCCCCCAGAGACAATGGCTGTGTCCCCGGGGGCACACATGGCCGCTGTCAGAGTCAAGGGATGTGGATGCTTTATTTTTACCCTGAATGAGACGGACAGAGCCTGCCTCTCATTCAGTTAGTCATTTGTGGGGATTTTCCAAGCTGACTGATGTTACTTGAAACCGAAAAGGGGGAAAACTGAGAAGGGAATGGTTTTTCAAGCACAAAGGCTAGGAGTACATATCCTGCGATTGTGCACCCACCCCTCCCCCAATAAAGGATTTGGTTTTGTTGATTTATTCCAACAAGCAGATAATAATACTTACACACAAGACCTATAGCCTTCTCAAGGGCCCAAACATCTCTTCTCAAGAATGTCTGTGCCCTATCAACTATGGTGCGTGAAATGAACTCAGAGAGGGTGACATCAAAGCAGGGCAGGGACATCCTGAAATAACAAGCCTCCTGTTAGTTTTAGGGGTTCTGCCTCATAGGGGAGCAGCTCACCACTGCAGCCTATCTGACCGAACTCCGTCCTCTTCCCCACGGGGCCCTAAAACCAAAGACCCCAAAGACATTGGCCTCTCTCACCTGGGGTGGGGTGGGAAAGGAGAAAACACAGTTGGGTTGTGACTTGCTGTTGTGGCAGTAACTTACGCTACCAGAGTGGGTAGCGGTAGCGGCAGCCTAGATGCCACTCCCCTTCGTTTGGAGCCCCGGGCCTCTCCTCAACCCAATACTATGGCTCCTCAAGGTTTAGGATGCAGCCGATTGGATGGGGCAGCAACAGAGCCCAAACCTGCAGGAGTGGCCCCGCCTCCACGTCAAAGTCCTGCTTGAGACCACACCCTCCAGGGCCACCAGCAACAAAGCACACTGGATCCCACAGGTGCCCGCTCCAGGGAGACGGGCCTGGGAATTGCACAGCTGCACCCCAGCACCGAGAAGTGTGTGACTGCATCCTTCAAGACCCCAAACATCCCACCCCATGTATCTTGTTGATCACCTCTTTTGAAACATGCAAAAACATATGAAACAAGAAATCTCCCATTGTTATGACCAAAATAGGAACTCAAACATGAGCCTGAAATTCTTCACTGGGACACCTTAGAATAAATACTTAACTCTCTGTCATCTTCAACCAACGTATGGTATGAGTCACAACCACAAACTTTCTGGAGGGGAATTTGGAAGGATGTTTCAGATGTCTTAACCTAGAAATTCTATTTCTAGTCAATTCAAGGCAAATCATCAGACAAATGCACCACATTCGCAAAAGTAACCAATTGGAAACAACCTAAACATCCTTAAATCAAGGATTAGTTTAAACAGTATAATACATCTATCCAGGGGAATGCTGTGCAACCATTAAAAATGGTGTGTGGGGACCACAGTTAATAACCCTGTGTTGTATATTTGAAAGTCGCTGAGAAAGTAGATCTTAAAAGTTCTCATGACAAGAAAAAGAATGGTAACTATGTATGTCGAGGGATGTTAGCCAGACTTACTGTGATGATCATTTCACAATATATACAAATATTATATCATTATGTCATACTCCTGAAACTAGCATAATGCTATATGTCAATTATATCTCAACAAAAAAGGGTGTAGTTTTATGTTACTGGCTTGTAATTATGTCCATGATATGTTATTATGCTGATATATTCATATTTTATTGGGGAACAATTAGATATGTATTGCAAGATCAAATCCATGTAAATAGCCATATATACACCAAAATGCAAATAAATATCGTTTTTAAAATAATTTCATGTTTTTATGAATTTTTCCAATGACCAAATAATCAGGAAAAGAAGAAGCTGATTATATTTTGAAAACAAAAGACAACCAAATGCCTTTTCCCCTCGCTAGAAAAGAAAAATGTGTTTCTTTTTTCATAGGCAAATTTGCTCAAGTGTCTGAGAGTTAGTTGTTTTTTTAAAAATCTTTTTAACTACTTTAATGTTCAAGCTTACTTTGGAGAAGATTTCATACGTATCCAAAAATAGAGAAAATAATATGATGGGCCCCCATGAGCCTCATTCATGGCCATCTTGTTTCCTCCATTCTCTAAAGGGCTCCTCCTCTCCCTACACTGAATTATTTTGAGGCAAATCTCAGACATCTTAGTATTTCATCCATAAATGCTTCACTATATCACATCTAAAACACAAGGACTCTTTTGGAAACTTAACAATGCTACTATTATCACACCAAAAAATTTAATGGTAATGTTACGGTATCATGAAACACTTAGTGATACTTTTCCTAGGGCATTTCTTACAACTGCATTACCCCTGGGTGATCTCTTCCATCCTTAATTAATTCATTTTTAAAGTGGAGAAAATATAGGATCATTGAGAGTAATAAATGAGAGAGTATATTAAAGAGGTTAGCATAGAGTCTGGCACATTGCAACTGTCCTAAACTAGTAGCAACGGGTGATTTGCGATGTTTTCCACTTTCTCATTCACTAGGCATTTGCACGAATTAGCCCTTATTTTGTGAATTTCCTGTTCATATCCTTTGGCCTTTTTTCTAGGGGGCATTAAGAATGGCAACCTTTATCTTTCATATGCTTGCTCACATTCTTTTTCAGGTTATTCTACACTTTTCTACTTTACTTGTGATTATGTAGTAAAATATGTCCTTCCTTTCCTTCGGATCCAATATAATATACATCTATATTTTTTCAGTGTTTTGTGGTTTCGTGTTTTTTTAATTTGGCTCATATAAACTTTGAGAACCACTCATCAAATGAGCCCTGTAATCTACACTTTCACTAAAAAAGCAAAAATATAATCACCCTCTGAATTCATGAGCTTATATATTTTTTGGTAGAATCAGGTTTTTCCTCAGGTGGGACTACTCTAGATATGTACTCAGTGATATAAGGTATTCTTGGGTTTACCATATTCACAGTAATGCCAGCTAGCCGTTTTGTCTAGGGCTTAAAGTGCTTTCCACATATTGCATTTAATACGTACCATCCTCTTATCAAGGAGGTAGTATTCTCATCTGGATTCTAGGGATGGAACACTGGGCTAACGGAACAGAGAGATTAGCTACCTTGAGCCCAGGTTATCTGCCTCCCAAGCCCCTCGAACACCAGACTATGCCTCTTTCCTCACCTGCAAAGTGAGGAAGGTCCTTAGGGGGCCACCTCACAGAGCTGACGATGAATCAATAAGTATAAAGCATACAGAAGAGTGTCTGAAATGCTGTGAGCGCTCCATAAATGTTACCCTTCATCTTCATCATCATTACTGTAGTAACAAAAACAATAAGTGCAAACGAATAGAGTATAAATAATATTAATTAGTACAATATAATAATAATAAAAGCCAATGTTCACTGAGGTATTGCTAGGCACCAAGAAGCATTTTACTTGCTGGTTATCCTACAAGGTAGGTACTTTTATTATCCCCTTTTTACAGAGGAAGAAACTGAGGCACAGTGTTTGTGACTTGCCTGAGAAGCTAAGACGTCACCAGTTTAGCAAATGCACTCAGTTATTAGGTGGTGGAGCTGTGACTGGAATCCAGGCAGTCTGATGGCAGGGCTACCTTTCTGGAGCCACCACCTTAGATCCCTGCCTTGTGGGCATATAATCAGGACCTCTTGTTCCCCGTCACAACTTGTGGACAGATGGCTGCAGTCTCGGAAGCCCAAGGATTAGGAACACAGTGACAGATTTAGAAAATGGCACTCTCTCAACGTTTGCCACAGCCTAAGAAGAAGAAGGAGACTCTTGGCCTTAAGGTGGAGACCCCGACAGGCTGCGCGCGAGCGCCAGCGAAGAAGAGGATGCGTTCTCGGCCCAGCGATGCAGCCCCTGGCCCAGGGGGTTCCGCGCCGAGGGATGGAGAGCAGCGTCTCGGCCACCAGCAGAGGGCGCAGTGGCGCCGTGGGGAGGACCCACGTGTCGTCTGATGTCTCCAAGTCGGGGGGTGAACCTCGCTTTCCGTGGGTCTCAAGAGAGGAAATGCTTTTCTCTTTCACAAGGTTCTTCACCCACGGGGCGACTTTCTTTTCCTCTTGAGGTCATCCTGTTACACAGGCAGGAAGTTCTGTTCACTTGGCTGTTGGGAAGACTTCTCCTGCCCTGCGGTCACAAAACAACAAATAAAACGAATTGACCCAGAAGTTAGGCAATCAAAGAGGAGCCGAAATCGCTACTTGATAAAGCCTGTCGATTGAAGAAAGCGGACTATCATTCCTGCGTGGTGACCCGCAGGCTGGGAAGCTGGATCTGTGTTTGTCTAATTGCTTTGGAAACACGTAAGTGGGTCATTAAACAATCGAGGGACTGGGCTCCACATTTCGAAAAAACTGAGCAAAACTAAACAGAACAGAATAGAACCCATAATAGAACAGAAAATTTTTTCATTCTTTTGTGTGCGTGCGTGTGTTTACTGGGCTGCAATGTAAAATATATCTAATTCTGTAGTTCTCAGTTTAAAAAATGTGAAAGCTGCTGGTAGATGATGCGAGTCCTTCAGCCAAATCCTGGGAATCCAGGCTCTGCAGCCCTGGTCTGTCTTGCACGTGGCTTGGTCTGGGGAGCTGGCCATGTTTGATAGATATTTTGAAAAATCATCCAGCCCCTGCCCAAGCCTCGGTCCTTATTACTGTTTTTATTTTCCAGAAAGATGCTAAGGGGAGTGATGGCAGAGATGGTGGTGTTTGGGGGGAGGGCGAGTAAAAACAGAGGGAAATGGGGGGAAATGGGGGTCAGAGGGCCCGCGGGAACCACAGCACCATCACCATATGAATCTTCCATCCCCAGGGTTTTCCAGGTAAGTTCAGGGACAACATGAATAAATCAATAAAACAGTAGATCCCAGTGATGCAGATTAAGAAATAATACATCCACTGAGTAAGGGGGAACATTTTTTCTTTTGCACATTATCCTCACATTTTTCTATAACTGTAACCACGCTTTGGGTTTTGCCAGTTTTTCAGTTGACACCAGCACCAAGGTATAAATACTTAAATGGTGACCAGCTGGTTACTTAGATGTAATAGAAATAGGTTTTAATTGTCTCAGTGGATAAAATAGAATTTTGATCACTTTCATGAGTGCTCAACAAATACAACTATTATGTATATTTCAAAATTGAGAATGAAATTTTCTTCCTGGTCTGCTGACATTTGCAACAGTTATAGCTTATTCGTTCACTGTGGACACAGAGGGGAAGGGGCACACGCACAGGCTTCCTGCCCACCGAGACGCCAGGCTCTCACCCCATCCAGCTCTCCTCTGTGGCTGAGCCCAGCCGGGTCTCCAGAATCAAACCCCCAGCCCCTCCTGCAGCAGGAAATTGGAAGCAGGCAGAGAAGATGAGACAGACCAAAACACAGCATGACCCATCCAGCAAAACACTTTAGTGCCGCCTGTTTTCGGTCGGTGTGAGTGCACTCCTAACCCCCTTGGCTCCATTTTGGGCCTGAAATCCGAAAAGATGCACTTACGTGTCTTCCGAGGGGGGTGGGAGATGGAGGCTGGGCAGCCTCCTGATAAAGACAAGAAAACCTCCACCTTGTGGCCCAATCATCTGATGGTGTCTCCCGGTGGATTCCCTTTTCTCTTGCTCTCCCTTCTTCGGTAAAAGCTTTTGGGTCCTTGCAGATAAGTGTCAGCTCTGCTCCTAAGAATGGTTAGGCCAGAGCATCAAAGGTGAGCAGTGGCCACTGTCATTAATAAGAGAGCCTCTGACAAAGACCGCTTAGAATGCAAACCCTTCCACAGCAGTCAAGAAAGGCAGGAAAAACAAAACAGCTGCTTGTCATATTAAAGCAGCTTGTTTACACCCTGCCAAAGTAGAAAAGAGCTAATTTTTGTGTTTTGTCAGAGTTTGAGTCAATGGTTGACCCAAACCAACAGATTATCTAGGAAAAAATAGACACATTACTGCAAAACCTACCTAAATGGATTGGTTTTGTGCTGGCAAACATGCAGATTATGGGTTCCGCACTTCCCTTTACCACTCACAGGCAGGCATTGTGTTGGCTTTCTCGATTTTGTGGATTTGAGTTAAAAAATAGTAATACCAATAAAAGAGCCTTTGGGGAGAGGTGACTCAGGACAAGACCCAGGGCTACAAGGTCTGCTTTCCCCTTCCTCTCAGAGGGGGAAGAGGACAGGACGAGGATTCAGTTTCACTACGACAACGTCAGCATCCCTTAGAAGCTGCCTGGGTTTGGCAAGAGAGAAGGGATGGACGCACTCAGAGTTTCCTTCCTTGAAGCGCCCCAGAAGAATTCCTGTTGAGATCTGTGGCTTCCAGCAGTTCAGGCCCAATGTCCTGCCGCTCTGAGAGCCCGGGTCACCACCCGACCCAGCCCGTCACTTATTCCAGATGTTGTGGCTTTGTCGTCTATAGAATAGTCTCTAAAAAGGAAACCAGGGAGGAATTATCCACTTTCTTAACTTTCCAGACACAGCCCTGGAAAAATCAACCACACAAATGAGTGTTGAAGGAAAGTTTATAAATATGAAGCAGGATGGAGAGCTGAGGAAAGGTCAGCGGCCTGGGACACAGCAGGAAGCCTTGTGAGTCACTGTGCAGGGGGGCATGGGGGATGGCAGGAGGCACGAAGGGACAGGGGCTCCGCTGCCCACTCCCCACATTAGTCAGACAGTGCCTCGTGGAACCACAGAGCGTGCCAAGCACTTACACGTGTGTATCTGCATCTCAGTCTTTTGGGAAAAGACCAGCCCTCCCTGGACCCTTTAAATGATGTGACTCAGCCTTTACCCTGCCCTTTCTCATGGGCAGACTTACGGCGTTTGAGGTGGGAGACCAAAGGAAGTGGGTCTTGTGGCCAGCTCAGTCATTACAGGAAGGTGAACCAAAAGGTAATGAGGGGCGCAGCACCTGTATTTCACCTTCACTCTCACCTATTCACCTCTCACTGTAACCGAGCAGGACCCCATGGGGCCTTCCCGGGACAGACCTCCCCCGCCATCATATCCTCTGCCGTAGCTCCTCTCTGAAGTACCCAGGTAACAGTATCTGATGCACATTTCCTCAGTTGTTGTTACAGATGTAAAAAACCTCCCCCTCTCCAACAAATGGAAGATGTGAACTGATGACCGTGAGCACATAGCCCCAGGCCTCCTGGAGCCTAAGGACTGATAATGTTTTGTTCTGTTTTGTTTTTAAATATTTATTTATTTGGACTTCAGGGTCTTAGTTGCGGCATGCGGATCTAGTTCCCTGATCGGGGATCAAACCTGGCCCCCCTGCATTGGGAGCATGGAGTCTTAACCACTGGACCACCGGGGAAGTCCCAAGACTGATAATGTTAACCCCCGTGACACCACCCTGCTACCTTACCATCAGATAATCAGAGAATAATGCACAAGCTGATCACAGACCCTGCAACACCCCTCCCTCACCCGGCTTTTAAAAGTGCTTCGGGAGACTCAAGAGGGAGGAGATATATGTATACGTATAGCTGATTCACTTTGTTATACAGCAGAAACTAACACAACATTGTAAAGCAATTATACTCCAATAAAGATGTTAAAAAAAAGAACACCAATCCCATCCATGAGGGCTCCTCCCTCAAGACCTAATCACCTCCCAAGGCCTCACCTCCTAAAGCATGACATTGGGTGTTAGGATTCCAACATATGAATTTTGCGGACAGGAACATTCTCATCATAGCAGCCACCTTTGAACGCTGTTGTTGTCAACCACAGAATAAGAGAGTTGGACTATATCTAAGCTCCAACAGTTTGGGTCTTTGAAAGTAATGATAAGAGTTTACAGCTCAATTTTAGTGTCAGAAATCTTTGTGACTTGTTAAATCATAAACTGACCTGTGATGAGAGTGTGCTGGCTAACTGAAAGACGGCTTTTGTTTGCTTGGATTAGAAGTACATCCCCTTGGTGTGGTAACTGCATCTATCATATGTGGCTCAGAATTCTGGCTGACGTAGGCCAGCTGGAAAAATAAGTGAGTTATTACTTATTTTGGTCTGACAGGTAAAGTCTTTCAAAGCATGGGGCCCACCAGCAGGGTGATTAACGGGCAATCTCGGTGGCACCAGAGTTGGTCCCCACAGGGGACCCCAAAGTTGCTTCCAGTGCCAAGGTGCTCAGACTGTGGGGTCACAGGTATTTATTTGCATTTGAGGAGTGAGGGGCTCAGAGACACAGCAAATATTCCCTGAGGACAAGGGCCTTGCACAACTGGTCAGGCATGATGAGTGAGGGCCATTACCTTTGCCAGCCCTACCCAAGCCCACACTGCCCTCCTGTATCCTGGCTACCCAGCCCCACCAGGTCCACACCACATGCCAAACCACCTGACATCTGAACTGCCACTCTACAACCCTCCACATCCCATCCCCAGGGGCTCAAACGCTAATGCTCCATGCTCATCAGTGTTCATGAGTGTTCAGTGCCAGTCAGTTAATGAGGGCTTCAGGAGAGGTAATGTCTTTCCCTAAAGAAGTAGCTCTGAGCAAAATGAGCAAATAAACACAGTCCTTTCCACAAGTACACAACCGTAAGCTTCAAGCGAATGGCCCAAATGCAATGCATCCTAATTTAAATGTGAGCCACCACATGACAACCAACTCTCCATCACGGGGTGATGAACCCCACGTTGGCCTCCCACTTGCTGTCCATGAGGTCGAAGGGCGTGTGCTTTAGCAGCTGGACAGGAGGAGAAGGTGGCCACCTTTTGGGTGGCATGTGATACCTCACTTTTTTCCAGAACTTGGTCTTTGCACACTGTGACTGCTCTGTGAAGTCCCCACTCCACTGGACGGCCCCATGCTTCTGTTTGATGTACTGAATGGACTCTGGCAAGGTTGTATAGTCCTTGACCTTCTCCAGTTCAATCAGAATGACCTTTATCCCATCCTGGATGAGAACATTGTAGACTGCAATTTGTTCTTCTGACGTGTTCCTTAACAGGTCAAGGCTCAGCGCTTCGGGAACTATGATGATGATCAGTCTTCTGCACAGCTTAATATTTTCATCAGTGACATTGACCACAGCTGGAAATAAAGAAAGAAGATGCGGAACATCTCGTGATGAAAAGAGCCACAGACCCTGCACTACTCAGAACAAGGATCTTATCATGTCTAACTTAGCTAAAGGTCTGGTATATATTAGAGGATAAATACTTTTTAAAAAGTAGCAGACTTTTAAAGGATAGGACACATGTAGTTAGCTCAAATGTTGTACTAATCTTTATTTGTGTTTTCCTCTTGTGCTTCATAGCTATTTAAATGACCAGGACTTAAAAGACTAACTTGAAACCAAATAACATATCCCAATGATTTCTTGGGAAGGGGAGGGGAAAGTTCTTGACATATCCAACTATGGATAAAACTTGGTCTTTTTTCAAAACAAAGGCCAAGTTTTATATCCTCCTTATGCTTAGGATATAAGAATAGACTGTAACCTCCCCAAGAGCACTTCCTTCTTCTCTTTGGTTTATTTTAATATTTCTAGTGCCTACAACATTACCTGGCACATAGCAGGTGCTCAATAAATATTTGTTGAAGAAGTGAATGAATGAATAAATATTGATATGCTTATGAAATGAGAGCTCTTCTGCAGGTTTATAACAAGCACTGGATCACATTTTCATTTCCTCATGGAGGATGATTTCATAACTTGAAAAGATGTGATAAGCTATGGATAGGAGCAGCCTACAAATCCAAAGTTCTTAGAAACCTTTTAAAATGACCCAGAACAGGCCACTAGGTAGTAATCTTGGTTTCCTGGTGATATTTCAAATGTCAGCTGTTTACTGTATCACCTTCTAAGAAAGAGAAGGTATAGGATAAGACGGATGTTTTCATCTATTGAGTATCTAATATGTGCTAAGCTCCATACTGGTCCCTACTCAGGTTTTACTTCATTTAATTCTCTCAACTGAGTCAGGCAAGCATTCTCAACCCCATTTGACAGACGAGACAACTGAGGTTCAGTGATGTTAACTGCATTTCCCAAAGCTACTCTCCTATTAAAAGGGGGAAATAAATAACTTCTATTTTATTTAGGTAGGGCAGGGCTGGAGAGAGTTGAAGTTTATAAAACCAGCCTTAAACATGAGCTCTTTTACAAATTCAATTTGACAGAAAATACTCAGTGGTTAGTCTCAAGGATGTGACAGCCAATGACCAGTTGTCCCTTTTTCGTCTCTTGGCCAAGGCTGTGTATGTCATCATCCAGCGGTTCATACAAATGGGTCAACCATATCCTTACCCAAAGTGAAAGTCACATGATTTCAACCAGGAATCCCCATTATCCTGTTGTAGGGATGAGCCTAATGAGAGAAGAGAGCCTGGTCCTACCTCTTCAGCTCTGGTGCTGTGGGCAGGGGAGTGAAAGGCTCCCTGTGGTTCTGTGGGAAAGGCAAGCATAGCTCCTTCTGTTTGTAAAGTCAAAAAGAGAGAGGTTCCTTTCCTCTTTTTTTGGCTGCATTGCAGCATGCGGGATCTTAGTTCCCCGACCAGGGATCAAACCTGTACCCTCTGCAGTGGAAGCGTGGAGTCCTAACCATTGGACCACCAGGGAATTTCAGTTCCTTTCTATTTTATTCATTTCTTATTTTTATACCTCATTTAAAACATACCTTGTCCAGGAAAGTCATCCCTGCCAAATATAAATAACTTGTATCCACACTGCCTCTCCAGCACCTCGGGGAGAATCTTCAACACCAGAGTGTCCACATCATGGCTGTGGCTTTCTCTTTGAGGCTTGGGGTACAAGACATATGCATCATACAGCTTCCCATCTGAAAAGGAAACGGGACAAGCTCGTGAAATTATTGCTACCAAATTATGTGAACAAAGTGAAAATCTGAGTTGCTATCATGATGTCTTTTTCCTTGGGTTCAATGACTTCCGGGTGCCCAGTTGGCTGACTCATTGCCAAGCACTGCATCTCATTCTTTCAACACTTTAAATTTTCACTCCAATCTCTTCTTTCATGCATGGTTGTTTGAGGATAAGTTGAATGTAATTCATCTTTGTTTCTCTAGAGGTAAGGTGTCTTTTTCCCCTGGCTTCATTCAGAATTTTTTATTCTGTAGTTTGAAAATGATATGCCTAGGTGTAGTTTTGTTTGTCTTTGGTATTTATCCTAATTGGAGTGCTCTGAGCTTCCTGGATCTGTTGTTTGGTATCTGACATTAATTTGGAGAAATTCTCAGTAATTAGTGTTTGAAATATTTCTGTTCCTCTCTTTCTTCTCCTACTGGTATTCCCATTACATGTATGTTACACTCTTTGTAGTTGTCTCACAGTCATTGGATATTTTGTTCTGTTTTTTTAATTTTTTCCGGTCTTTGTTCTCTTTGCTTTTCAGTTTTGGAGGTTTCTAGTGAGGTATCCTCAAGCCCAGAGATTCTTTTCTTAGCAGTGTCTGGTCTAGTAATAAGCCCATCAGAAGCATTCTTCATTTTTGTTTATTTTCTGCTAGCATTTCTCTTTGGTTATTTCTTACTATTCCCATCTGTTTACATTGCCCATCTGTTCTTGCATGCTGTCTACTTTATCCTATAGAGTCCTAAGCATAGTAATCATAGTTGTTTTAAATTCACAGTATGATAATTCCAACATCCCCGCCATATCTAGTTCTAATGCTTGCTCTGTCTCTTCAAATTGTGGGGGGTTTTTTTGTCCTCTAATAGGCCTTATAGTTTTTCTTGATAGCTGGATGTGATCTACCAGGTAAAAGGAATTGCTCTAAGTAGGTCTTTAGCAACATGTGGTGAGGAATGGAAAGAGGGGAAGTATTCTCTAGTCCTATGATTAGATCTCAGTCTTTTAGTGAGCCTATGCCTCTGGACTATGACATTCACAAACGTTTCTCAGTGTTTTCTCCGCCCTTAGGTTGGGCAGGATGGCTAGAGAGGGCTGGAGCTTGTAATTTCCCTTTGCTCAGGCCAGTCAGACCCCTGATAAAACCCCAGCAGGTTAGGCTCTCATTAACTAGTGTATCCCAAGGGCAGTCCTTGTTAAGAACAGAATGCTCTGGTGTCTTTCAAAATGGTTCTTTTTCCCCCTCTCCCTGCTGGAAGCACATAAAGGAATTTTTCTCTGATATTTACTATCAGAGCTTGGTCAGGCTCCTGGAAGTAAAACTCAGGAAAGTGTGAGGGCCCCTTTATGATTGGGTCCCTGAAGAGGGTTCCCAGACCCAACTGCAATATGTGTGTGTGTGGAGGTTTCCCCACACCAACAAGCAATTCTTGGATGCAAGCAGGGTGTCTAAGAATTCAACTCCATTCTGACACTTTCTACCCAGAGATAGAATCAGATTGCACAGGGAAAGGGCTCAGTCCCACAAGATCACATTCCACTTCAGACGCCCAGTTGTTACCTGTGCTTCTGACCAAGGCGCTCCAAACTGGAGGTTCCAACGACTCCCCCACCCCCACCCCAATGTAAGCAGCTCCTTGCAGGAAGCAGCTCTTTGCAGGAAGCAGCTCTTTGCAGGAAGCAGCTCTTTGCAGGAGGCCCTTTTGTCCTGTCACTCTAGCAAAGCTATATTTTAACTTAACCTTTACACCAGGTGCCTCCATGCTTAACTAACCTCTGGCCAAAGCACACCTTTCGAATCTTTTGATCACACAAGGCTTCGCCTAACCTGTTGATTCTTTTCTTAGAAGTAGAAATGAAGAATAAATAATTAACAGATGACTACATCTCTTCCCCAGCTTCCCCTTCAGTAATCTCACAAGCAGACTGTGTGCACAAGATAGCATCTAAAGAAAGATCATGCGGAGTCAACAAGCCTGCAAGCGGTGGGAGATGGTGAAGAATCTGACCCCCTTTCTCAGTGATTAACTGAGATTATTTCCCCTTTTCCCTTTAACACTTTCATGGCCGCGCAGAATCTTTGGAGTTGGTTCTGGGACACCAGTCCACCTTCTCCCCTGGTTGCCAGCCTCCTGAATAAAGCAACATTTCCTTTTCCAACCAACCCTTGTCTCTTGAGTATTGGCTTTCGAGCGATGAACAGCCAAACCTGAGTTTGGTAATGCTAATTCAGGATACCAGTAGCGAGTCCAGGGTGTTACCTGTACTCCGGACCAACTGGCTATAGACCAGATTCCCACGACCCCCTCCTTGGGTTCGATTAATTTGCTAGAACAGACTCAGAGAAACATGTTACTTACTAGACCACTGACTTATTATATAAGGATTTTAAAGGGTATGAAATCATCAGCCAGGTGAGGAGATGTACAGGGCAACGGATGGAGAAGGGGTGCAGAGCATCCATGCCCTCTCTGGGGGGCACCACTGTCCCCAAACTCTACCTGCTCACCAGCCCAGAAGGTCTCCAGAGCCTGTCCTTCCAGATTTTATGGAGGCTTCATTACACAGGCTTGATTGATCAAATTAGGAGAAGGAAGCTTCACAAAGCTCATCCCTGATTCATCCTGTGCAGCTGTGCCAGATGGTATTTTCCAAAAATAGCCCCAGCGGTATTTCCAGTCCCATACGTTCCCTCTGCACTTTGCCACACCCCGCAAAGAGGCAGAATCTATTTCGCCTTCCTTAGAATTGGGTAAGACTCTGCAGCTGCCTTGACAAGTGAACAAGGTAGAATTGATACTAGAAATTCAGGGTCTGAGTCATTAAAAAAATAATGGCTTCTACCTAGCTCTGCTGTTCTTGAAACGCTAGCCCCTGGAAGCCATCGCATGCTGTGAGGAAGCCCAGTGTAGTAGCCCCCATTGAGAGATTATTTGGAGAGGAGCCCAGGCCACCAGTCAACATCCCAGATCAGCGGCTTGTCCTTCAGCTGAAGCCCCAGGCATCATGGGGCTGAGACAGGCCACCTCTGCTTTGCCCGTCCACACTCCTGACCCACAGAATCCATAAGCAAAATAAGTGGTGGTTTTATGCCGTAAAGTTTTGAGGTAATTTGATTCCCAGCCACAGTAACTGGGCTGGAATTGGGGAAATAACAATGAATAGCAACAAATAACAATGAGGTGGACCACTCCCCGCAACTGTCTACATCATCAAGAAAATTACAGAGACACAGACCTACTAGTGAGTTTCCTAAGGAAAGTGGGCCCTGCTCTCTCTGTGTAATGGTGGGGAAAGAGGGCACCCAGGTTCTGGTGAAGTTCCTTTCATTTTCTAAGGAGATTCATCCCTACTTTTGATGTTAAAGCATCTGTGTACACCCTCATTGGCTGTTGGCAAAAATACAGTCATTTGTTTGCACAACTTAATGTTTATGAAAGTTGCCTAAAGATTATTCGATTCCCTACTTCTCTCAATACGATGCTGCTAAATTTTAAACCTGATCAAACTGGTCCCGTGGAAAAATCAGATGGAATCAATTTGACCTTCAGGTAAGTGCGCTAACTGAATTGCATGAATTTTTGGCATTTTTGCCCTAGCATGAAGACACTGGGAGAAAAGGCACATTAAACATGCTTTTACATTTACCATGGGAATTTTGTTGCAAGCAAAGTTCATTACATCACATGCTTTAAAGACAAGATCTCACTCCAAAACAATTTTCCTGAGGAATTGGCCCAGAAAAAGCCATGTGCTCTCATGAGCGAATGAAAAGTTTGTGTAAACAGTGCCATGAACCTTGTCATGGCTTTGCCTTCACTTTTAAAGGAAGAGCATCTTTAAAAACCATCCAAGGTGGGTCATTAACTGTCCCCTGCCCTGCTTATGTTATCATTCTACCCTTTGTTCACTGTACCTCTTCTGTTTTGTTTTTAATTTATTTTATTTTTGGCTGAGTTGGGTCTTCGTTGCTGCGCGCAGGCTTTTCTCTAGTTGCGGCGAGCGGGGGGCTACTCTTCGCTGTGTTGCATGGGCTTCTCATTGCGGTGGCTTCTCTTGTTGCCGAGCATGGGCTCTAGGCACATGGGCTTCAGTAGCTGTGGCACGCGGGCTCAGCAGTTGTGGCTCGCGGGCTCAGTTGCTATGCGGCATGTGGGATCTTCCTGGACCAGGGCTCGAACCCGTGTCCCCTGCATTGGCAGGAGGATTCCCAACCACTGAGCCACCCCCACAAACCTATTTGGAATAAGGTGAGGCATAGACACATCACTCACGTAGATTTGTAAACGAATTCTTATATTTGTGTACACACATGCACACGTGGGATAAGAATTTTTAAACTCCCTCCTGTGAGTTAACAGACAATACACAGAGCTCGTGGACTTAGCCAGGCCTGTCCATGACTCAATAAAACTGTGAGTTATACACACCTCACTATTAATCACAGCTGCGGCTTGACTAATCTGGTTGGAATAAACAACTTATCACGAGAAGGACACATGTTCTCTTTCTCCCTCACTTGTATTTGTTGTCCATTACTCCACGTGTTCTCAACTAACCAGAAAATATCCTCAAGGGACACAAAACTGGAAACAGCATCTGGGACTCATCTCAGGGTCTCATCACTAACTCACTGTTGAAGTCACACTCAAAGAGGACTCACAGTGCAGTTCTCAGAGCCTGAGCTGGAGGAAATTTAATCACCAAGGGTGTGTGTACTTTTCTGACTTAAAAGGAAGAAGACCGCTGGCTGACTGTAGGTTCCCATCTCCAAATCCTCAGCCCGCCGGTACCAAATCTGGGCAGCAGCCCGGTCTGAGCAGAGGGTGGGGCTCCCTGAGTCAATCAACTGTCCAGCTTCCCCTGCTCAGGGTGAGGCACAATTCCTTTTTTCTCTTCCTGCTACACTTGGCCTCACTCGTGGTGGTTTCACCACACACTCAGCATTCACGCTCCGGGGACCCCGGTAGGTCAGGGAGGGAGTTCCGGGGACAACACTGAACCCACGCAGTCCCCTGTCAGTCAACAAACAAAGCATCTCTGTGTCAGAAAAGACAAGCAGCAGTGCTGCCCTGAGGTGTCTTCTCAAACAGATGCAGGAGGACCACAGGCAGAGGTGGGCTTACGCAGAGTAGGCTCTACAGGGGCCACGGCCCAGCTCAGCGTCTGCAACGCTAAAAGAGCTTCAGGCTGCATTGGACATGCAACGCCGATTTCCACAAGTGAATTGTGCCATCAAAGAAAAAAAAAAAAACAACAGAATCTGTTTTTTTCCAGGTTGCTCAAGGGCCGCCAATTTTGAATTCTGAAATTTAACTTAAACTCCAAGTTAGGATACTTATGGTTTATCAAACATGTGGACAGACACGTGGTTTTATATGCCAAGCAGGCACTTAGTATGACTACCACCCTTCTGTGTAATAGGGATTCCTAAAACGTGCTGGGACCCACCCCACCTCCTTGAGTTCCCAGCAACACTGCAAGTCTGTGGACTTGAAAGGGACACGTTTGTGTATCTCTGTGCAGGAAAGCCGCACAGACCTCTCTCAGCCATGTGTGACTCTTTTATCCAGTTAGGACACGTTAAAGCAGATGCATTACTTTTTTGTGAGGCCTTGATTGATCACATCTATTCTGAGATACAAAGAAAATAGCACAGAGTTAAAAGCACGGTGATGGGGGCTTCCCTGGTGGCGCAGTGGTTGAGAGTCCGCCTGCCAATGCGGGGGATACGGGTTCGTGCCCCGGTCCGGGAAGATCCCACGTGCCGCGGAGCGGCTGGGCCCGTGAGCCATGGCCGCTGAGCCTGTGCGTCCGGAGCCTGTGCTCCGTAACGGGAGAGGCCACAGCAGTGAGAGGCCCGCGTACCGCAAAAAAAAAAAAAAAAAAAAAAAGCAGCACAGTGATGGGAAATGCCGGATCCTCAGATTTGGGATCACACGGGCACTTCTCTGGGGACTAGCGCTGGCAGGACGCGGCTCCCCACGCCAAAATGAACCCCCAGGCAGAGCAGCAGGGGCAGCTTGCTTGGACCTTCAGACATGGGAGCCCCCTGCACCCCAGGACCCTCAGTGCTTTCCTGAGCTTCAACTCTGCTATTCCTACAGGACTTCTGTGAGGCAGGCTCTGATCATGGTTCCCTCCCCTTCCCTCCCCTCCCCTTCCCTCCCCTCCCCTCCCCTTCCCTTCCCTCCCCTCCTCTCCCCTTCCTCCCTCCCTCCCTTCTTTCCACCTATACCTGAGAAAGAGAAGAGAATTAAATACCTAAATCACACAGGGAATAAGTGGAGAACTCAAATTCAAATCCAGGTCTGTCTCTCTCCAAACCTGAAAGTTGGAGACAAATCGTTTTGGGCCCCCAGCCCAGGCCCAGAAGGAGCTGCAAACACAGGCAACTCCTTGCTCTCTGTGACATAAATTCTGCATGCACGTGTGCTGTGTTGAAGATGTACCGTGGACAGAGCTCACGCTGCTCCAAGAGAAATTTTTGTCTTTTGCCTACACCAGTGGACGTGAGAACCTTCCTAAAACAGTTGCACTGGGAGCCAGAAGATGATCTGCCAGGTCACTCCTAGCTTGCAAGCCTTATGCGATTGTACAGTGCTGGTGGCTATGGGCAAATCCTTTCTCTAAAGTACGAGAAGCCCCAGGGAGACGCTCTCCTCTAAAGTTGCCGACAACACGAAAGGCAAGCTAGTAAAGATGGCCAAGTATATTTACAACGGTTATGCGGACGAGCAGATTCCAGGACAATGCATGTTTCAATGGCTACTCACCTTCTATGGGCCCTGCAGAATGGAAGGCACTTCGATACCAAAGTACAGCGTCGATCTTAAAAACGTTGTAGATACACACGGCAGACACCGCCGCGCTGGTCAAAACAAGAAGCCCTCCTATCAAGTAAGCTCGAAAATCTGGAACTACAAATGACAGAAAAAAAAAAAAACCCAATAAATAATAAAATAATAATACTACAAAGAGTCAATTATACACTTAACTTACACAAGTCCCATTACATACGCCAAATGGGTATTAGATGGCAGAGAGGGGAACACTTAATTATTCCTTTACAGTTAAGTAATAGGTATGGGGAGTAGAATAATTTGGTCTTGACCTTGAATTTGGGGAAGAAAATGTGCTTTTGGGAATCTGGAGAGGGAAATTCTGCAGACCCCTAGCTCCAGACGGTGGATGTGGCATGGCTCTGACCGCAGGAAGACTGCTCACCTATCAAAGCACACATGGCCAGGTCCTCCTTACTCAACACTAGACTCTCCATAGGTGGAGCCTGAGAACCTTTACTGGGAAAGTTCCCCAGGTGGTTCTGTTTCATGTTCTTGATTATATTACTGTTATAACCGCCTTCCCAGTTACTCAAACTTGAGCAGCAGGACCCCTGTCATAAATAAAGAACCTTCAGTTGCCTCCCTTGGAAGCCATCTCCGTGGCTTCATAAGACTGGCCGAGAGCCAGACTCCCACCTCATCCCCTCTGGGCCAGCAGAGGCCAGGATGGGCCCCTGTCTGCAAGACATGGTCTCAGGAAGGGCATTTACACCCTGCTCTCTTTTGTGAGCACATTGCCAAGCAATTAAAGCAAAAGCAGTGGGCAAGAGATGACCAAGGAGAAGAACCAGTTTCTCTGCGACTCCAAGTCCCCTCAAAGCATGCTCCTACATATCTGAAAAGAGGAACAGCACAGCTTTCTGCCTCACCACAGCCCAGAGCGCTGCTGTCAAAGAAGGAGGCTCTAGGAAGGAGAGAACTAGAAAAGAGGAAGTGGGAAAGTGGAAGAGAAATCCTCCCCATTCTCAGAATCCACCACACATCCACCACTTCCTTCATTGGCCCCCTCCCTGATCCTCCGGTCCCCACTGGAAAGTGCGTGTGCGTAGGAGGGTGGGCGGGAGGGGGGAGGGGAGCTTACTAAAGAGCTGATCACAACCTGCCCTAGGCCACACCACGTTGCAAACATTTTGCAAAGAAATCTCTATGCGTGCTTGTATGTCTTCAAATACATGGCATAATAAAGCACAATAACTAAAAACACACTCTGTGTCTCCAAAATTAATCCATTGATTAAGTCCCAGCATAGCCAAGTGGATCTGCTCTGCACGCTGGTGCCCAGTTGGTCCTGACCGTGTGTTTGAACCTCTAGCTTCTATCTGTTGGATGGAATCACCTCCTCCCCACGGCCACCTCCCGCTTCTATGCTTTTTACCAGCTCTTGGAGCAACAGTGCTACCTCTCCCCTCAGGAAGACCTGTGTCTGGGGACCTTTGCTGTACACATCAGGGATCATGATAAAAAGACCACGGCCACAATATCTATGAGGTTCACAAAGCCTCTGGTAAGTAAACAGGAGTGTTGGCCTGAAATTCTTGGGTTGATCATTCACTGCATTCAGGAGTGACGATACCCTCTGCTCTATAATTGAGCTAAAAGACAATGAAATTCCAAACAGGAAGCTAATGAATAAGTTCAAAGGAAGTATTGGCTTTGAAACTGAAATAAGTGGAAAACTCTCTGTTGAGACATCAGGTGTCCTATTGAAGGCCCTATTTAAGGGGGTATTTACCTTTTGGGTCCACATGGCTACCACCAGCTTTAAACTGAGATGGTAGCTGAGAACAAGTGATTAAAGGAAATTCATAGAAGAGCACACCCAACCCAAACAACTCTCTAGAGAGCCTGCTTCCGATAATCCAAATATGATTCACATCTGAAGGTGTCTTCAACAAAAATCAGGAAGTCCAATGGAGAAGTTGTAACCTTACTTCAGGTCCCAAGGAAACCAACAAGAAGCTTGGATTTTTTTTTTTTTTTTTTTT